TGTACACGTAAGGACTTGGCACCTTTTCACGTTTAGGTGACGATATACATATGTATGGATGTTCATATTGTATATTGACAATACAATAAGGGAATACATTGGCACTTACGAATCAGGTATATTTATATGGTTGGGGTCGTCTTTATATACGTGTAAACAAGGTTGCTAAAATACTTGGAAACACATATTTTCTATTTTTCGCAATTTTTATGAATTTTTCGCAATTTATCGCGGAACATACCAAAATCCAATAAAGCCTACCAACCTACCAAATGGAAAAAAACTACGAGTAGGAAATGCCCATGTGTGGCAACACTGGCATATTTACCATCTAATGAAGCATACTTTCGGCCGCACTGTTTTCTAATCCTAGCATACTATCCTACCAATACTACAAATTTTCCATAGTTTTGGTGCAATTTGCACTAACCTAACAAATAAATGAAGACACCTTTCCAAACGTACAAATAAATTATTTAGTAAAAAAAATATTTTTAGGGGTGTTGCCACCCATTTAAGAAGTAAAATTCGATTAAAGAATAGTTATTGGCAAACGAAAGGGGTTCAAAAGGATTTATTTCGAGAATATTCTCAAATTTTTTGCCACCAGTTCCATTAAATTAACAAATGTAACGAAATACATTTTTTAATAAGGGCATCGAACGAAAGGGGATTAGGAAAACTTTAATTAACGACTTAAATAAAATCTTTTATTGTAGGTACAAAACGGCAGAGGTTTTTCGAAAGTTGTATTTACTTATTTCGGGAATATTTTTGACTACGGTTGCAACCAGTTTAGTAATTTAATTGACAAATAAAATTAAATTTATTAACACTATACAAAAATGTGAAAGTTCGTGAGTGAGTATGTAAGCAATTTGCTGGTATTTCTCTGGTTTAGCAGGCTGATGGTTTATTACCAGGATTTACATATGGCATTTTTCATTTCAAAGTTCATTGAAGTTTTACCATATAGAAGCCAAACGAACAAGAGTTAAAAATGCTGTATTACGAAAACAGATTCACTTTTATTAATAACTTAAATAAATTATTGCCATATGGGGGGCAAGCAAACGAATGAGGTTTAAGAATGCTAATTCCGAAGTTTCGAAAGTGGTGATTTTCACACAATCGACAAGGAGCGCGAAGGAAGATCATCAACTTTTGTCGACGCCGAATTGAAGGCAATTTTGGACGATGACCCAAGACATTCTATTGCGATTGGGCAACCAGACATGAGTCATTGATCTTCCACCTTGACAACGCTTGGCATGCGGTCGCACAAGTGGTCAAAACTTATCTCGATGGTAGCGAATGGGTAGTCCTGACCAACCTGTCTTATAGTCCAGATCTTGCACCATTAGACTACCGTTTTCACGGTCGATACACAACGTCCATGCGGAGGCACGTCTCTTCAGTTCGCCATTCGCTTGATTTCTTCCATGCATTGCCAGTAATGTGGAAAAAAGTCATAAATATTTAGTTAGTGATCGGCTTCAATAATATACATTGTACCTACCAATTAAAAACTTACTTAATTATGCGCTTATCTATTAGCTTATTATCTATTTAAATAAATAAATATGTATGTAAATAAAATAATACTAATCCACTACTTTCTTTCTCTTTCTTCCTATGCAGAAAATCGTCGTGAAAACAGCCACGCTCAACTTGGCAGCAATCTTATCTAAAGTCTAAAAGTTTTCAACAGTTTTCCCAGATATTCACAATTATTTTCAACTTACTGCATGGCAGAACTATGAAGAAAATATAAATGCAAATGGCAATAGTCTTTGTTGCACAAAAATTTATAAAACTTATCTCTGCTAATCTAAGCTAAATTTAAAAAAAAAAAAAACAATATAGTTACAAATGTTAAATGCGAAACAAACGCCGCCGCGGGGATGAGAGCAATAAGAAACAACACCAATCATTGATTAGTAAAACTAGAAGATAGACAACAACAACAACAAAAAATCAAAAACAAATAAAACTTTTCTTATCACATTGTGCTCATGTTTCTTAGTAAAAAAACAAAAACAAAAAATAAATAAATAACTATATAAATCTAAATGTAAGATTAGTTGTTAGAAGCCGGTTGTTGCTGGCTTGCAGTCAACTTAAGATACTATAATTTAAATTTAAAACAAATACAAATTAGAGGTAAGTTAAAACAAATGAAAAACACGAAACTGAAAATCAAATTGCTGCTCCTGCTAAAAGTATTTAGTTAAAAAAAAAAAAGCAGTCAACTGTTCAACAAAATATGGCAAACAATTCT